ATTATAAATTACTATGATAATTATGTTTGGACACACAGGGTTAATGATATTTTGAAATGAAGAATTTGAAGAACCCAAAATCTCTTTTGAAACTGACTGAGCAATCAATTAAGGCTGTTCTAGAGGGGCAATTAAAACGATTATGATTTAAACAATTTTCAAGAACTCTCGATTCCTTGACGAGCTTAATTACTTCAATGAACATTAATAACCATGAATCAAGCGAAGATTTCAAGTCTTGATTAAACAGTGCAATTTCTTTAGAATCTCAGACACGTGATTGTAGACTGAAAAAATAATGTCTGTATTCATTCAATTTCAAAATAAAATAACCAGCAGTATAAATAAATTATGAGTTAATATTTTTTTTAATTTCTCTTTTCCTCGGCCCTAGTTTTATATTAAAATGAAGAAACGTAAAATTTTTTAAATTAAAGCGAGATTTATTATCTGTGAAAAATATTTTTTTAATTTAAGACTGTTTAAAGCGACTCAACCCCATCGCCAGTAACAATTCATTGCACTGTGTGGGTGCACGCGATGTTCCTCTACGTAGCACAACAGATAAAAGAAATGGCGATGGGTTGGGGGTGTGTAGAAGGAGCAGGACTCGTTAAGCAGTTTGCGGTTCGTCCCGGCCTTTTTTTCAAGGCGCGCCTTTAATGTAAACATATTCCGCGAAGAGATCGGCATCTTCCTCTGTTTCGCCTTTCCGCTCCGCTCCTGCTGCCTTTTGCTTTTCGTCGGCACAAACTATTCTATTTGTGCCTCCTCTCCCTGTCTCTTACTCCTTTCGTTCACCGGTTAAACGCGTTTTGTTTCGCGCGTATTCGTCCTTTTACGAATCAACCTTGCGGCTCCGATGGTCCACCCACGAAGATCGATCTTCGAATCGATGGAACCGGATGAGAATTCTATTCCTCTTTATAACATGACACCGTGATTCGTTAAACGAAATTGTTTTCATCAATAGTATTAAATTTAAAGGATTTCCATAGTGTGATACTGCTCAAATTAGGGAATCTTTCAGAATTTTTAAAATAAAAATGACCGATTGGTGTAAAACTTTTTGTATATATTATACTACATTTAAGGAATATATCAAAAATTTTTCAACCATAAATATGTATAAATAATAATATAAATAATAGTATAGAATAATAATAATTTCAGCTATTCTGCCGTAGCTTCCCTCCCAAAAAAAGTTTGTGGACAGTAACCACGATTGTAGTTGTTATAGTTACCTGAAACTAAAGAACAAAAAAGATTCCCAATCTGTACGAGTGTAGCTATAGTTTGACTTAGAATCGCAAAAAAATATTGAAAATTTAAAAAATTATAGCGTTCTTATTTTTTTGCTTGTATTTTTAAAATAAAATTGCGTAGTCTTTTGGGTTTCAAATTTTTTGCTTTAAACGCATCAAAAAAGTTTTAGGTCCAACGAATACTATACATCTATCGAATGTATGCATAAAATTACAAATGGATTCGGCGATTCATTCTCCAGTAATCGTGGTTACCAGTTTTAGAAATGTTATTACGAAAAAAATATATTTAAAGTACCTATGGGGCGCTATATCTTCATAAGTACTTATAAACCATCCAATAATACCACAGAATATTATTTTTGAGAAGTGAAGCTTTAAGAAAATGCAATAAAAAGAATACAATCTTTTTGAACCGACACAATAAGAAGACCTCTTAATTGTAATTTGATTTGTACACTGTTTCAATTAATCCAGACGACCAAAAGCCGAACAGAATCGGTATTTTCCGGTTCTCGCTCACTTCTAAATTTCAAGTATAAAGAGCGGACTACAAACCAGCATGCACCAAGTAGCTTACGAGTGACTCACCATTTGCAACGCAATCGAATGAGCACGAAATCACGAGTGGAAATGGTAAATGTCCGTTATTTGAGACCGTTTTGCTAACAGATAAGAAGCATTCCCTGCGATCGAACATTTTGAAAGGGAAATCGAACGACGTCCGAGAGTACATCGACTGAGCTATCATCTCGCATTATCATCGTTCGACTCGTCCTTGGTCCAAGGAAACGATCGGATCGAGCGTAACACGATACAAGCGGAATCCGTAAGTCGCGTTCTCCTCACGCTCGGTTAGCGTGACGAATCGATAATGAGCCATGTTTCAATTTTAATCGACGTCAAGGGGGTTTGTCCCCGCGAACAAAGCTACGACGTGGCGGGCCCGTTTCGCGTCCGTTCTTGGCCGAAAAAAAAAAAAAAAAAGAAAAAAGGAAAGAAGCCCGCCTCGGGTAACTCGATCTGCACGAACACCTACGAAATCGAATTATACCGGCTGACACGCCATGAATTTTAATCGGCTCTTAATCTCCACTGGGACGGACCGTTACTTTTCTCGATCGTCTCTGTTCCTTTCGCTTTTCGCAATACACATTGTTTTACACCGAGCCGAGCGGTCAGCCATCACGCACCGGAGAAACTGGACGGTTCGAGGATGTCTGAAGGATATTTCAGACGAGACCGATAAATCTGTTGTATAATTATCGTAGAAACTTCGATTCTGAACGAGAGAAAAATTCAACTTAACCCTTGAACAACGGAGTCTGGGTCGATCGTGATATAAAAGATTATTTCTCTAATTAAAAATAATCATACTGGGTGTTAAAAATTTACCAATAATAGGATTAATTAAATATTGGGTAAGTGTTTACAATTAGGGCCCCAACGAGAAATCAATTGAAAAGAGGTAAATTCTATGTATTTTTGCCCCTCGAATCCAAAACTGTTGATAAAATTTCGGGGTCTCTTCTCGTTGGGGCCCTAATTGTAAACATTTACCAAATATTGTAAATATTTCTTAAAAATTGAAGTATTATGCAATGAATCTTCTAATATCTTGAACATGAAAGCGAATGTGTTAACTAACCGACTTGGCTGACACGATTTCAAAGGAATCTTATATTTCCTATTCGCTATTTCGAGCTGGACCACCGGTGATTCCATCGAAACGACCATTAATTCGTAACGATGTTTCGCGCGCGTTCCAGGCTCGAGTTAATCGGCGAACGGGAACGTTAATGGCGATAAAATAGGTGATTAACGAGAGCGCCACGAGCTATGTTAATGGGTCCTGGAGGGAATTTCGTTGTTCGGTAGCTGGCGATATCAGAAGGACGTTCAGCTTTTAATTACGGGACGCTCGCTTCGTGAACGCGATTATCGCGGGGCACGAGTTTATTTGCTCGTTAGCGATTTTCAGTACGGGCTGAATTGTATTCCGATGCTGGGGAATAAAAATTCTTTAGACGCGTTAGAAAGCTTTTAAAGAGGATCATGTTTTCATAGACCGATGGAAAATGTTTCTTCCTTCTTGTTCGTTGAATTATGTTCGTTATTCTTTTATTTTCCTATGCTGTTTATTTAAATAGAAGAGAAGATCTAACAATAAGAGGGTAGAACCCTGAGTTTCATTTTCCAAAGGACACCATTATAAGTCTTCCATTTACTATCCATCTCAACAAATATTGAATGAAATTTCTTTACTGTTACGATCAAATATTATTTAATTTAGATTTCAATTTTTGAACCTAGTTTGTCAACCAATAGCGCCCTGAAATGTTTGATACCCCTGGGGCTTGAAAATCTTAATCCGACCTTGAGTATAGGTGATAGATTATTATGGGTGTTAAACCCTTATGACAAGTATTTATTTTATTTTATTTTAAAGGAATCATTCTAAAATGTGACCTACTCCTCAACCTATCCCACTGCTTTTTGCCCATCAATCGAAAACAGGAGAAACAAGATTCGAAGTAACCTGCTAAACAACGCTTTTAATGCGTGTCACGCTCTCGAAAGCGAATCCCTCTGCGGTTCTACCGAAATCGGACCACCTGCTGATCGGGAATTACCTGAAACCGATGTATCGTTTGATACGACACCAGGCAATTTCAACCGTGTTGATTTTGTTCTCAACGTGTTGATGGATCGCAGGAACCTCGAATTTGACCTGTTAAATAAGCAACACCAGTTATGTGATCGTTTGGAGACGCCACTTTAATAGGCCCCTCAGATTTGGCAATTAGGATTGTCAGAGCCACTTCGAGAAATCCTCCAGTACAATTTTCTTTTAATAAATTCTTAAATGGTACCTGTTTAAACGAGGAGGAATAGAAACTGCTATTAAAGAGAACTAACTTAATGAATCAAAAATGTATTGACACACTTTGTTTCCTTGTAATTATTTTATGTAATCAATATTCTTTCGATAAAACTGTTTTTGATTCAATGTAAATGGAACTTCATCGTCACAAACTTCACTATTCGTACAATTGAAACATCAATTTCTCTCCGAATCACCTAAACTAGTTCAGAACTGAAACTCTCTATTAACAAAGTAGAAAATTCCTCTTTTCAACTAGCTCAATCACCTCGTTACTTCACGATTGCTCACGGTTTAGCTCGATGACAGCACTGTTTCCCATAACCCGAAGCAGCTCTAATTATTTCTCCTCCGATATCATCGTATATATGTATATCCTGTTAGCAATCGGAACGATCTTGCCAGGGATCAGTCACATCGTTGCACGACCGATCACGTTTCCCAACTTAGTAGCACAATTTAATCGAGCAACGTACAATTACCTTCTGATCTTTCCTCCGCTTATGTAAGCGCTTTTGCAACTCCCCGGCTCGATGATCCGCGACGCACGATCGCCTCGTGAAACCTGAAACAAGCTGAAAACCCGACACAACGTGGTTATTCAATCTCCTGGTACCTTCTCCTTTAAAACCGCAACAATGTTGCCTGCAGGAAGGGCACCTCGGCTCGCCACGAAAGTTTGCAACAATCCTGTCGAACACGGCTCAACGTCACGGTTCAAGGTCGCTGTTCGAGTTCAGACCTGAAGAAGAAAGAAAAAGGAAGGAGAACGAAAAGAAATAGAAGAGAACGAGGACGGATGATCGATGGTGAGAATCGGTTGGACCAGTCACTGTGGCTTCGTACAGAAGACATCAGCTCGTGGAAGAGGTGCCAGGATTGTACATTCGGCGCCTCACGCTCGAGGACCCCAGGAGCGCGAGGGAACCCTCGAGTTCAAGGTCACAGTCTCCGGCACGCCATATCTGTCATCCTACCACCGGTTACGTGCCCTCCTCCAGAAGATCCTCCAGGTAAGCTCTCCGTCCCTCTTTCTCTTTCAGCTACTCTCGCTGATCTCCTGGAAACTTTGGATACCGTGCACTCGATGCAGGTCACTAGGGACTGCTGCTGTTTCGCTCGGGATGGATGCTCCTCGCTTTGCCGAATCCTGAAAGGTGAAAAGTGTTCGTTAGAGTATACCTTCGAATGACGTTATAAGTCATAGAATTTTAAATGTAGGTGATATCATTTCTTTTCTACCCTTCTTGGTGAATATTACAAGTTTCCAGTATTGAGCTCCTTTTTAATACCCTGTGTAATTCCATGAAATGGACTGTCAGTTTAATTAGCAAAGAGTTGATAATTATAAGTGTTTCGATAATTAGTTATTTCATAAAGACTCATCATTCCAGAAGACGATCGAACCACGAAGAGACAGGGTTTCCTAGACGATTAACCGGGGAACTTCGACCTAGTGAGCATCGTTCCCGTGGGTCTGCAGGGCCGTTAACATGACGTAGGAACCCGTAATTAAACGCACTAAAATTTAACTGTCGAGACAGAAGGATAGGTGCGATTTAATAAAGCTTCGAGAAGGCGATCGCAGCCGTCATTATTAACCTTATTAAAGTGGCTATCGTATCGAAAACAGGAGCGTATCGGAACGTCATTATCATCGACGTTCTCTTCAGGGTCCGCGCACTGGTTCTCTTGTTCTTCAGGAATTCGCCCTTTTTTCTTCGCTTCACCGCGACGTTCTAACGCGAGCATAGTATTATATTTCGAGACTGACCCCTCGGACCTCGAGATCCCGACAAGGTTACCGAGTTTATTGCGAGTTTAGAACGTGCTCTCGTTTCTCGTGAATCCACCACCAATGGATCCAATGGCCAGCTCCCAGAAAGAATTCTTTCTTCTTCGTCGACGAGCTCGCTACTGGCCTCGTACACGCGTTATCGTGCCCCATTTATCGACCAACCCGCGATAACATTCTAGTTTTTGATGCATTTTTATGAACTGTTCTGTGAATACTTCAGACAACCTCGTCTTTTATCTTCTTCTTTTTCATTTCTGTCGTCATTAGACTGTGAACATGTATATGTATCTATATGGTGTTTGCAATTTGTTTCTAAATGGATCACTTCAAATTTTAAAAGGTCAATTTTATTTCTTTTAAACACAACCATACATTTTTGTTTTAGGTAGATTGATGCTGGTATAATTATATACTGATTAAGAGGTGTAATGTCGAAAAATAAAAAATTCATGAAATATTTAAAATAACATTTTATGTAGAAAGATATTAAGGTCAAAAAATTAAGAATTCAAGAAATATTTAAAATTTAGAAGTGGAAAATTTCATACTTCTTTTTTTTTAAATAGGTTGATTTTGGAAAACATTTTGTATAGAAAGATATTAAGGTCAAAAAATGAAGAATTCAAGTAATATTTAAAATTTAAAAGTGGGAAATTTCATACACACTTCTTTTTCTATTTTAAGTAGGTTGATTTTGGAAAACATTTTGTATAGAAAAATATTAAGGTCAAAAAATTAAGAATTCCAGAAATATTTAAATTTCAACAGTGGGAAATTTCATAGAAAAATTTGAAGTAATTCACTTGTAATAGTAGAGCAATTATGAAGAACGTCTTACATCAATTGAAACTTTCCCATGCTACACATTTCTTTCTAGTTCAATCATCTCATTATCTTTCATTGCATTTCCACGGCGCGACGTCCTCTCGTTTCTACATTTTTCAATTCCAAAGTCTTTGCACGCGAGATTTCCCGCTTCCATTCATGCAGGTTTATCTTCAAATGACAGACATTCGTGTTTGACAGTGTTCAACTGCTTCGAGCTATCGGCAATTATGTACAAGTCGTTCGGTTATTCAAACCGGAGGCGAAGAAGATATCCTTTCTCACAGTCGTTAAGCGGCTTCTTCCTTGACCGTGAGGAATCATTCTAAAGGGGGATCGTTAAAGAGTGAATCTGAAAAGCGCTGGTAACTTTATTGTGATGCGGTACTTTTCGCCATTGCTTCTGAGAAGTCCTATCTTTTTTATACACCCATCGTTGCATACGTTTCTGTTCTTTTCTTATTTTATTCTACTACTACAATTATGCTTCTTTATTAGCATCCTGGTAGCCATAGTTTATGAAATATAGACCCCTTGCAATTTTATGTCTCTTGATATACTTAGGAAATTATTAATAGAATTAGATTCGAATTAGGTATAATGTTTATCTACATTGTAAAATTACTAATTTTTAACACGTTCAATCTTGGAATAAAAGATTTGAATCCCCTTGCCTATCTGCTATGAGTAAATCTACTTAAGCGGGTTCGAACGTGTTCAATTGGGATTAGTGTCCGATGTATTTTATATAATTTATGTTTGAAAATTATTAATTTCGTAACCTACACTTTAAATTAAAATTAAAATTTTATCATTGTAACAGTATACTTTATTTTGTGACATCAGTGTCACAAGGTTAGGAATGAGATTCTGTCTTATAAGCCAAAGGGTTAAAGATCTTCCAACCCTTCAAATGTTAATCCTGCACCCACCAAAACAAAATTTAATCTTTCACCCTAAAAATCAACAAAATGAGCCTAAACGCGAATAAAACAGTTACAGATCGTGGCTGAAGAGGATCCGGAAGGAGAGACCACCGTTCCTGACGATCGTCTCGTTAGAACTGCCAGAATCCCCGATTCCTCTGATCGAATCTCAAGCCAGCTCGCGAACGTCCAGATTCGAAAACGCCAAAGAGTCGGTCGAATCTATGGACGAGCACCCGGAGAAGGTCACGGTGGCTGAAAAGGTGGAAGGTAGGGTGGATCCACGTGGAGCAAGGAAGAGATCGTCGAGGAAGTCTCGGGGCAGACGCAAAAGAGGCGAGGAGTTCCTGGAATGTACGAAAGGAGTTCCAACCCTCGAAGAATGCACGAAGAACATTGTCGAAGGTCAATTCAAAGTCTGCCGTTCGGTAGAACGTTTACTCATTGGCATTCCTGGTATTCCAGGACGCGTAAGGGAATCTACTTTATGCATGGACCATGCTTCTGGACCTCTGAGGATCGATTTACTGTTGAATTGTAAAATGGAGAGAATCGATGGGTTGATTATGCAATTTTATCCATGAGTTTTTAGATAATGATGGGGCTTGAATAGGATGGATGATGGATCATTGATTAGAAAATTGGATAAAACCTTTTGAATATCAGAAATTATGGATTTTTCTTGGGTTATGATTCAGAAAAGAATTTATAAAAATTATTTTGACCTTTCTTTGGATTTTTGATGACCATTCATTAGTAATAAAGATATGGATTCTGATAGGTTGAAAATAATAAAAAATTACATAATTGATCCTTGGATGTTGAGAAATTGTAAGATTAATTGTGAAACATGAAAAAAAAAATATTAAAAAAATAATCTCATTTTCAGTAACAAAAAAAAATCTGTGTAACACTCAGTATAATTAGAAATTGCTTGATTTATTGAAACAGTTGCGACTTTTTTAAATAAAAATTCAGTTTCCTTCCATAGTAGTTATTACATGCAGGTTAAACTGGTTGCAGTTTACAAGGTGCATCAAGGTAACGCCTAATCCTATGCAACCTTATATGTCAATCTCAACCTTTTAGACATACCCTTTAACTCTTCGATAAATGCAATTTATATACAAAGTTCGTTAATTTAATTATTTTAAAAAATTTGAAACAAGGAATCTGAATATTGTCATTATCGTGGGTTTGATGATTTTTTATATCAACGACTGCATTTTGCATTATTCGTTAGTCCAATTGACTGATGGGTAAGGGTGTATCATAAATCTATAAATTACCAATTAAACACCATAATCAAACACCACTTACTCGAGTTCCAAATTTCAGGAGGCAATCGAAGATGTTTATCGAACCTCGATCTCCAAGATGTCACCGGGTGCATCTGTTCCGAGATAGCAGCGAACTTCCGCCTTCACATCGGTAAGAAATCGGAGGCAACCGGGTGCTCGCGATCACCCAGCCCGGAAATGACTCACACCATAAGGATCGCGATGAAGCAACACGATCGTTCGGCTTGCGGAGTTAGCGACGATGAGGAAACGGAAGGGAACAGAAGATCAAGGCCGGAAACGAACAGGAAAAATCGTCAGAGAACCGGGAAAGAGGTAGACAGAGAAGAGTGTAGCAATGGTGTGCAAGACACCTTAAATTTCACACTGAATTGCAGCGGTCTGCGACTGGCGTGCCGTGATACGAACCTGAGCACCGAAATAGCCAGTGAAAAGCAACAGAAATCGAAAATAAGAAATTAATTCGTTTGAGTTGTGTTTTCGAGTCAGGATAAGTTTAGATTAAGTTGCTAATTGTTTTTTATAATGAGAAAGAAAAGTGTTTCCTTTGATAGCGTCAGTGGAATTGAAAACTGTAAAATGAATGAAAGAGTGTAGAATGCTTAAATGTAATTAAAATGTACAGTTTTATAATTAGAATGTATTAAAGTTTTCAAGAGACCTTGAATTCTCTTTCAATTCAAGATATTAATTGCGAAAATTAAAAATAATAATACGTTTTATGCACTGAAAGGATTATTTATTATTTTTACAATATTTCATTATATATTTTTAATTGGGTATGTCAAAGAATTTCTAATGATATGAGTAATTGATTTCTATAGAAATTCAAACGTGGCCCAATTAGGAGTGACATGGCAATCAAGTATTAAAAATTTTAACTTTAGTGCAATTTAGGATACAGTATTTAAACCCTTTGTGTTACTCAATATAATTAATACCAATATTATCTAAAATTTGTTCACTCTTTCATTTCAATAAATTTCATTCCATTTCACTCCCACTATATTTGAAACATCAATTACCATTGATTCCCCAGTCAACTATTACAAATTTTACCTTTCATAAATTTTAAGATGTAGTATTTAAACCCTTTGCATTACTCAATATAATTAATATAATACCAATGCTATCTCAAATTTGTCCACCCCTTCATTTCAATAAATTCCATTCCATTCCACTTCCACTATATTTGAAACATCAATTACCACTGACCTCCCACAGAAACCAACGTGTTAAACAGTCAATTACACCGATACCAGATAAAAAGAAACTGCATCAAGAGGATCAATCCCTAAAGAAGACCCGAATTAGAGGAATTCCAGTGCGATGATCTCGAATGCCATTAAGTCTGGGACTGTATTCCGTGAAACAGGAAAGAAAAGACCGAATCAGGAACGGAAAGCCAGCCGAATGAACCGCGAAGAATCATGAATTCTCTCTGGTGGCAATAAATCGCGAATCGTTGCTTAAGATTTCCACGAATCGTTCATCGACGAGCACGCATACTTTCACGAACGCGCGCTCAGTTAGTCTATTAATTAGCTCGCCTAATAAATCGCGGCTGGGCCGGGGTATCAGACAAAGAGCAGGAGGAATCTTGATGGTGGAAGAAAGAAGGGAGTTTCGTCTTATGGAGGACCAAGCAGAGGAGATGAGAATCGTGAGTCTAGGCTGGCCCCTTGGAAGGCCAAGCCAGCCGAAACCGGGTGAGAGAAGTTGGCCGGGTTCTCTTCTCCTTCTTTCTTCTTCTTCTTCTTCTTCTTCTTCTCTGGTCCCCCTCTGCACGCCTCATCGCTGTTCTTCATCGCATTTTTATTTTGTCTGTGCTGTGTGCGCTGCTCCTTCGTAGGGCGAAAATGGTTCATGGCCGTTCCTAACCGCCGATTTCGCCGCGGATCCTGCCAGGAGTATCGACCTCTGTTCTTCTTGCTCCTCCTGGTTCTACAGCCTCTGGCTATCGAATTAGGATTTTATGCAAAAATCTCACTTTCATGAATACTGTATCATTAATGACAAACTGGCGTTGCTTAAATCATTGGTGACCTTCGGGTCCATGGTTTAAACGAAACTTATGGAAAATGCAGTAGGCTTCTTCTTCCTTGCAAATCATTGCTTGCAATCCATTTAGAAGCAGATACTCGAGTTATTTGCTTTTGAAATTCTCTCTCTTAATTATTCATTTCATTTGAAATTTTGTATCATTTAAGAATTTTGAAACGAATTTATTTTTAATTTTTATCAAAATACCTTATAAAAATTCTAAATTCTGCAAATCATTGATAAATAAAGTTCCACGTGATATCAAATCCAAGTTACGTCTTCAAACTGTTAATTATGGTAAAAAAATAATTTATTTATTATGTTATCATTCAGAAATAATCATTAAGGAAATACGGTGATCAACAATAATTTAATTCATTTTTAATCACAGGAAGGGAGAATAAGAGATTTGTCCATTTCATCAGTAGTTAAGAACAGAATTCGCATAATTATAATCTCCAAGTAATTGCGACGTCATAAACGAATGTTCCTCGTGTCATTATTTTCCCTTTAAAATGACATTCGTCCATTTCCTTGATCCTTGAGACGAATTACTTGACGAAGCCAGAACCATCACTTTTTTACTCGTTCCATAGTTACGAGCGGTTGGAAGTACTTGCTAAAATGCCTACTTAACTTGATCACTCATCTCCAAACATTGTTTCCTTTCTATGCTTCGTTTCCTCCTTGCTGGATCCCATTGAATCTATTCTTCGCCCCTTGCAGTCGAAATCGTCAAATGAATTTTTACAGATTTGTTCTCCAAAAAATTCTGAACCGAAGGATCCATTATTATTAAATTCCATTATTATTGAAATTTCAAAGGTTATCCAAAAGAAGACGAGAAATTGCATATCTTAATTTCTCAATTTAACTCGTTGATCTTCTTAACTTATTATTAAGATCATTGGATATGAAATAAATTTTACTTTTATATAATTATCAAAATATTAATCTGATTTCATTTCTTCATCTGTTCACCGTTCAACGCGATTACACCTTTTTGAATCGCCGATTCGTTCTTTCGTCCTCGGCTCGATTTGCATTTCTTCATCTTCTCGTGACCGTATCCCCTTTTACCTCATCCTTGAAATCGATTAACGCGTTTACTCGATCGAGACGAGACCGAGTAACGCGAATCCGATCGCGAAAACAAAGCGGACTTTGTGCGTCGTTCGCTGATGAGACCGCGACGCCTTCGTTCCTCCCTTTTCCTTTGCTTTTTTCCATCCCATGGTCGCGGACACAGCTGAAAGGGGGATAGAACGAATCCACGAGGAGGCAGAACACCGTGGAGATAGGAAATTGGTATGTTGATTGCCGCGTTGAAAACGAGAGAAGAGAAAAAAAAAGGGAAGAAAAGAGAAGAGTTCCGCGCTCCAGCGAGCCTGAATCTGCTCGTCTCTCGAGTAACCGCACCGATTTCTTCGATTCCTCGGAAATTATCGAACGCGTCCATTCGATTCAATCATGCATCGAGGAACGAAGAAAACTGTTCGCAATTTATAGCCCACGGAAGTTTGGAAAATCTGTTTCTTTCGTAAGGTTATGATGGCTTGAGGAAAGAAAAAGAAATGTGTTGTTTTCCGTTTTTATGATAATAACATTATGGAATTTGAAAGTATAATAACCTCGAGAATGTTGTAAATATGTTTTAGAGAAAGTAATAAAAGGATGATCTCCTCAAGATTTACAAAATGCATGTAGATAATAGCATTGGCGTAAATTGGCAGGGGTCAAGGTGGGCCTCCTAAAATCCTTCACTGTTCTAAATTTTTTAAATTACAAAGAAAATTGCAAACTCCAGAATTCTAGAATTCCAGATCCTAAAAATGTCAGTATTACAAAATTTCAAAACTCTAGGATTTCAGATCTTAAGAATTTCAAAATTACAAAATTCCAGAATTCTAGAATTCCAATTCCTAAAAATTTCTAAGTTACAAAATTACAAATTTCCAAAATTTCAAAAGTTTTAAGAGATCTAAAAATCCCTTAAATAATAGTAGATTAAACAAGTGTAAACTTAAAACAAAATTATACTTTTCACAATCAAGTATTAGAATAATTTGTTTGAAAACTCGAGTCTCTAGAAAATCTCAGAATTGTTATATGCGTCGAAATAAAGAATATATTTAGACCTGTTATTAATGATTCATCCTTCATATCTATGTCGTAATAATTCCGCTTGCTTCTTCTCTTAGATTATTTTAAGATACGCGTAATATAGTTGAGAAGAAGTTAAATATTCCTGCATTAATACATCAAGCAATCATAATAAAAGGTGAAGTCGATACAGCAATTTTGTTATATAATTTACCATAAAAAATTAAAAAGTAGCAAAAAGTGCAGTTAACTGATATAATACTTGGATTAAAAGAAAAGAGACGAAATAATTGCGGGCAATCTAAATGCCAGTATTTTTATCAACACCATTTCCGCTTGTAGTTTTATTTTCTTGGATCCCATAAAACTCTTTCGTATCACGGATCACGGATATTTCTGAGAAACTCCGCAACTTGACGAGCAGCGCGAGAATACTCCATTTATCGTATTAGATCGTAATACTGAAAGCACTTATTAAGTGGTGGTCGATTAGCCCTGTTGTAACTAAGGGCTAAGGTTATCCTCGCTCCGTCAAATACTCTATGTACTTCATAAATTGCATGTTCTAAACCAAATAAACAATATTTTGTTTGAAATTCTTGAAATTAATTCAGCTTTTAGATTTCATATTATATTTGTGCAAGTTATCATAAAGAGAATAATTAATTATTTTTGCTATGAAAACAAAAATTATTCAGTCAAGTTATATGGTATTGGGAAAGCCATAATATAGTAGTGATAATTTTTGATTTGATATTTATTTTACTATTCATATTTCTTAGTCATATGCTAAATTTAATAATTGAAAATTATATCATTCTCTTCTAAACTAATATTAATATTAATATCCACAGAATTCCTGCTTCCCTTATAATGCCATTTTCCCTAGGGAAAAATGATATTCTATGCAGAACTTCTCTAAACTTGTTCCAAAGGACATTCAATATATAATTAATTACCAAGGTGTTATCAAGCAGCATTTCATTCTATTAAATAATTCAAACGATATTCGATGCAAGATTGAATTCCAAGCCAAAATAAGGGTAACGTTAAACCACCTCGTTATTAAAACGATAACGATGGCTGGTTGATTGGTTTTAAGTTTAGTCGCAACGATCAACGATTCCATATCGAATAAAGTATCTCTATAGATTCGAACGGCGCGGTTCGAGGTTTCTTCGTTGAAATCTGCGTCTCGTATCGAGTTGTTTCCCTTTACGGGCCATTAGAATCGCTCGAAGCTCCAATAAAACTCGACGAGATTGCGCTCACGGTTTCGCAGAGGTTCGAGAAACGGCAAGTTCCGTGGCCAGCATTCATTACTTCGCCCCGATACCAAATTAAAGATCCGTTTCCATCGTGTCGCCGTTAACCGGTTTCCAAACCCGACCACATTTCGCCCGATCGAAACGTTCCACGCGACGAGATCGTCCGGAATTAAGATATCG